CCAGTCCTAGAAAGGATCGCAGCTCAGAGGGGTTCTTGGGATCCCGCCAATCGCGAACAGCACATATCTTCTTTGGGTCCATCCTCAATCGACCCTTCCCCACAAAGTGTCCAAGAAATCCGACTTCTTCCTGCGCAAAGGCACACTTTTCTCGTTTCACAAAAAGGTGATGTTCTCTCAGCTTCTCGAAGACCAATCTTAGGTGCTCGAGGTGCTCCTCCAAAGTCTTGATGTAGACAACGATGTCATCGAGGTACACGACCACAAACTTGTCTAAGTACTCTCGAAATACTTGGTTCATCAGAGTACAGAACGTAGCAGGTGCATTCGTCAAGCCGAAGGGCATGACTAGCCATTCGTATGCCCCGTATCTCGTCACACAAGCAGTTTTGGTTCATCTCCTTCGGCGATACGAACTTGGTGATAGCCAGACTTCAAGTCTAGCTTTGTAAAGTACACTGCATCCCCTAACTGATCGAACAAATCCGCCACCAAAGGGATAGGGTAGTGATTGCGCACCGTAACCTTATTTAATGCTCGGTAGTCGATACACAATCGAAGACTTCCATCTTGTTTTTTCTGAAAAAGCACAGGAGCCCCATAAGGAGCCTTTGATGGGCGGATGAAGCCTGCCTCAAGCAAGTCCTCCAATTGTTTCCGGAGTTCAGCCAGTTCTGGGGGAGCCATGCGATAAGGGATTCGTGCTGGGGGTTTCGCCCCTGGAACCAGCTCAATCTCATGGTCCACTGTCCTTCTAGGTGGGAGAACTTTTGGTAGGTCTTTCGGGAGGAGATCCTGGAACTCTGATAGTAGCTCGGAAACTGCAGGCGGAAAGTCTCCACTTGCTTCATCTTCCTTCGTGGAAAGTGTTGCTAGGAACGTGGGCTCGTTCCTCTTCAACCCCTTCTCCAATTGCATTGCTGAAAGGAGGGGCCCTTTCGGCCCTTTTCCCGATTCGCAGGTTCGGAGGAGACATGGTTGCTGCCCGGGCACCAGAATAGATCTAAGATGCGGCATCGGGACTGCCTTACTAAAGTGTAAGAAGTCCATGCCGAGCACCAAGCTGAAGTCGTCCATTGGCGCAACAGTAAAGTCCACCTGTCCGCTCTAATCTCCCAGCTTCATTGTTACTTTTTTTGGCAACGCCGTGGATCGGTTTGGCAACTGAATTCACCGCTTTCATACTGCCTCCTTCTGGTAGGAGCTTCAACCCAAGTCTTTTTGCCTCCTTTTCTGAAATGAAGTTGTGGGTAGCACCGGTATCCACCATGGCACGAGTTTCCTTTCCGTTTACCAACGCATTCACATACATCAATCCAGAGTTTTTGGGTTGGCCCTCAGAGCCTTCTCTTCCCATAGCGCACATCATGCGAATGGCCCCCAGTCTGGAATGTTCTCCTTCACTAGGTTCTACCTCATCGGCTTCTTCACCCTCGGGGTTTTCTAAGGACATGGAGGACAGTTTCTTTTGGAGATTTTCAATTTCTCCCTTGTGTCGACATTCAAACCACTTGTGCGGTCCTCTACAAAGGATACACGTCAATGGCCTGGCTGCCGAAGATGAACTAGGGGTGCTTCCTCTACTAGAGAAGGAAGAAGCTCCACTCTTCCGAGAGTCTTCTCCCCCACTCCTATTGTATCTATTGTTCGAGTTGTTGGAGCTCACTTGCGAGCCATGTCCGGAGTTCCTAGGAGGGTTCGGTGTCGGCCCGCTATTCCCTTTCTTCAAACCTTGTCCTTTCTCTGAGGAGTAGTCCATCAACCTTTCGGCTGCAGCGATGGCTCCCGATAAAGTATCAATCTTTTGGCGCCAAATTTCTCTTTGGGCCCATTCCTTAAGACCACGCACAAAGTTGAATAGGCGATCTTCCTCGGACATGTTGTGGATCTCCAACATGCACGCTGAAAACTCTTTGACATACTCCCGGATGGAACCCTTATGCTGCAAAGCAGCGAGCTTGGTGCGAGCAACAAACTCGGTATTCTCGGGATAAAATTGGGCCATCAGCTCTTTCTTCAGATCCTCCCAAGTATCCACCGACGTCCTCTTAGCTTGGATGTCGGTGTACTTGGTGCGCCACCAAAGCTTTGCATCATCCACCAAATACATAGTGGCGGTATCAACTTTTAACTCATTCTCCAACTGACAGACCCGAAAGTATTGCTCCATGTCGAAAATGAAATTATCGACTTCTTTTGAATCTCTCGTGCCATTGAAGGTCCGGGGCTTGGGAGGTTTTATCTTGGCACCTCCACTTCCCCCGAGCCCTCTCTGGGCATGCATTAAGGTTGCACATTTATCTTGTGCTTCATCAGCGACGCCTTGCACGAAGTTAAGTTGCTCCGTTAACCCATCCACAGTAGCGGCAAGCCTCTCTATTTGGTCGGCTTGTTTTATTACAATATCCTCGAGTTTGGGAAGCCTTTCTTCAAGCATAGCCCACTGTTCGGACTTGCCTTCAAGCCAAGCAAGTCTTTCCTCGAATGTGTATTCATGCATCTCTCCTTCTTCTGCCATCTCTACGGCAAACCTGGCTCTGATACCAAACTGTCACGGTCCGAGTGATTCAACACCAGATCGTGCGGCGCGCTCTCGTCTTTTGGCGACAAGGGCGCAAGCCTAAAGCAAGGAGGTTCGTGAGCACACAGCAACACGGACCTACGGTGTCTCAAGAGGGCACACGAGAACAACGAGTGCGGAGTCAGGGCTTGTGACGGCCGATACTTCGAAGCGGGCACAAGCGGAACCGACGAAAATGAGGACGTCTCTAGGGTCTCTTGGTTTGATGGGGGATGCTTTAAAACAAGGCAAGCACAATATCTATAAAGGCTTAAACAACACACAAGTCTTAAAGCAATAACAACGGGGTAGAGAGCTTTGATTGAATAACCATTCGCTCCCTAAAGAGCTTTATATTGCATTAGTAGAGAATTACAAGTGAACGTTGAAATGACAGTAACACAATAATTCTCCCTATAGGGTCTAGAAAAATAAAAAGAAAGACTAAAGAGACATTACATAAGGAAAATATAAGGAAAATAAAGAAGAATACATAACAAAGAGGTTGGATTCTAACAAAACGGCTATATATAAGAATCATTCCATTCTATTCCTTACTCCAATTCAAAGTAGCATGAAAACACTTTGCAACTAGGTTTGAAATTCCCGCCCTTTTTCACAATTACTCACCCAAAATCTCCTTCAATTCTCTCTCTCCCCCTAATCAAACTCAATCACAGTCGCGCTTACTTCAGAATTCCAAGCATAAGGTGAGATTTTTCTCAAACCCTAGCTTCAAATTATAAAACATTATTCAATTTCATATGTTTTGAGTTACAACTCTATTTGTGAATTTTAAGTACAAACAATAATTCTATTGCACATATATTATGTAATTACAAACACAATTGTATACAATTGATTGGCTCCCAATTGATACATGCTTGCGCAGGAGCATCAATACATTGCATTTTTTGGTATTTGATACATATAACTATATGTTACAAAAATGAAACCATTTACGAAGTAACAATTTTGCGAAAACAACTAGAACGAGAAATTCTAAATCATCAGCACCAATGTGTAATAGCCACAGTCGGTTTTATTCACCCCCAATAACGATCTTTGGTTGAATTTTTGTATTTTTCATCCTGCACATTCATTTAAGAAACATAATTAGAGACTAATTTAGTTATTGTTTTTATTAGTTTAGAAGTAATATTGTATGAAAATGTGTTATTATTGTTATTTAATGCTTGGTTAGGGAAATAATAAGGGTTGAATTGTTCATATTCAAGGTTTTTTGATGTAGTATATGCTTCAAGCAATACATGGTATATAATGTAATTGACTAATAAGGCTTACTAGTTTACGCCTCCTTATAGATTACAATTGGCATGTGTACGAGTGTGTGTGTGTGTATGGACAATGGTTTTTGAAACGGAAGGAATCACTTAGCATATAGGAATAGCATAGATTCTTATACCAAAAGTTTTTAGTGGAAGTGTAGAACCATAGAAGATATTTGTGTGGTACAATGAGAAGTCAAATATAGTGAAAAACTTCTAAAGTTGGATTATGGTGCATACCTTTGGTTACATCTTCCAATTGTAAGGGAAGGGCACTCGGCCTGACTCAATGTGTTGGATGTCCTCAAGGAGTTCTTGATAACGTTTCTTTACATCATCCACAGATTTTCCACCAACCTCTTTGGCAATATTGTTCCAACGATCAGGTGTATCCTTGTCGTACTTGTTAAGAGCGCTTTCAAAAGCCTTGTTTTGTTGTGGAGTCCAGCCATTAGAAGACATTATTGAGTTAAGCTTTAGTTGTTTGTTTAAAGAAGTTAAGAAAATGTGAACGAGAGAGGAGGATAGTTTGTAGTACGCCCAAGGTAGTTACTTCTTAGTAAAAAAGACTATAATGAGAACCAGTGTGGAAGTTATAGGTATTTGGAAATGGAAAGGGAAGTTGTTTTTTTTAAGGAAAAGCTGTAGTCGAGAGAGGATTTGTTATGAGCTGGGAGTTTGCAATGCCTGCTATTTATAGTGTGGACTGGTGGCTGATGGCTGATGCCAACCAGGCAAAGTTTTTGCATGAGGCGAATCTAAAGATTGTGGAATTTTAGTGATTTTGGTTCCTAAGAACCACAAAAAATATGCAGGATGAAAAAAGTAGAGCAGGATAGAAAGCTGAAGGAAAATATCTCTAATAATTAATTGATTTTTGTACCTGCATGTTGCTTCGGAGTTTCACAGGTGACAATTTGTTCGATTAATGCCTTAAGATTCCAATTAAGCAAAATTACCTCATATAATCGTAATAAGATTCTAAAGCAATACCATATCAAGCACACAGGCATGCTTTACATGTTGTCTTATTTTAGATAATTTGGCTGCATTTGTTTTCTTTTTTATTCGATGAAATCCATGAAAGTATATGATCTTTGACTTAGAGTTTATAAAATAGCTAGTAGCTATACAATTATTTAAAAATAAAAACAAAGAGAAAAGTTGTGGTCCTCATCATATGTTATCACTAAAGTAACTAAAAGAGTTTGCATGTATTTGTATGAAGTTTCAAATAACTTAAAACTTATCAATGGCTGAAAAACATTACTGGATACATAAAAAAGGATGAAACTTGTGTAGATCAACCAGTTTGCTCTGCTATCCTTGACTCTGCAGAATGTGAGTCTCTGCAGTCACAAACTCATTCCATAGGCCATACTAATTTCATGACTGAATTATTAGCCAATTATGCATATAGTGATATAGGTGATGAATTCTTCGTATATAATCTTCTGATGCTGCATCTTAGCAGTGAAATTTCACTAGACTTTGTCTTCAACTCCGTCCTAAAGTTCTCCAGCTGGCCAGCTTAATCTATATCATGATCTGATGAGATTTCTTAAAGTCCAAGTTTACAATACTATCTACTTCTTCAGTGGGGGATTGGGTCCTTTTGTTAATGATTTATGAGCAAGAAGAGCACTACCTAGCTCTGTAGCAAATTTGTAAGTGTATTTTATTGAATTTGGTTTCAATCGAATTGTAATAGCTCAGTTCATGTAATTAACTTGCCTATTTTATTAGCTTTTACTGTCCTAAGGTCTTGTTAAGGGCTAGAAACAGTTGATGGCTGCTACTGTTGTATTTCTCAAAGTTCTGTGACTAACCAATCTTGAAAACCTAAGCTTATATTTTTAACTCTGCAGGATTTGGACGGGAACAGTGTTGAGTGGCTCTTGGAGGCTTGGAGCTTTTTGCTCAGTTACTGGTAATCAATAACACTTTTCTCTTGTATTTTCTTGATTTTGGAAACCTTCTCTTGTCATGCAAACACTGAAACACGTATTTCTTATACGAAGTTAGACATATTTTAGGTGTCATGATTCACGAATACAACAATCTCTTGCATGTATAAGCTTTCATGATACTCATGCAATGGACAATATGTCATATTTAGCTCATAACCTTAGATGCTCTAGATTCGACCTCATCCCTTCTTATTGATACACTCTAGCAAATAGAATATATGTAATACTATTTGCTACAAGTGGTTCTTTTAATGTGATGATCAATTTGCTTATTTATATCATTTTTTATTCCAGAAAACAGTGTTGGAAACTAGTTGTTCCGGCCAATTTAATTGATTATGAGATTTGTCTTATATTTTTTGTCAGCACTTTTCAGTTGTATTTCTGATATAAAGAAAAATTTAATAGATTATAAAGGACTTCTAGTTCAGCACAATGATTAGTACGATTTTGGACCTATAGACATTATACCTCTTAGGTTGTGACGATCAAACTCTACCCCATGTCATGTGATATCTGCATTAATTGGATGGTCACTGAACATAATTTTCTTCATGATAGTTTTGACATTTTTTTGGTCCTGAGTTTTGTTGGATGCATGGTTCTTTGCCAGTGGGCAGTGGTAGTCCCTGGTAAACATTCTGGGATGCTTTCATATTAGCAAAGCCAATTTCAAGAGAAGAATTGATTTTTTTTTTTGTTATTACTTGATCAACAACTCTTTTTCCCACCCCTGAAAAGTGTTGCAAATGCTCCTCATAAGTGCATTTTGTGCATATTTATCTCACTAAGCTAATTAATACTCTGTAATCTGTATTCACACTGTCCTTATTTACATGACAACATTATTGATGTTCCTTTTAGGATGATTTCTTAATTTTGATTACCACAGTATTTCATATTATTCTATTGTTGTTGTTAGAAACTTAGCGCTAATACTCCATGTCTTGTATGTTTTGCTCTACTCTAAGAGCATATGCTAGTGCAGGCCTATTGGAAGATCCATATTAGAGTATAATAATAACATATAGTATAAGGAACAAAGGTAATGGAAATTGATTAGTAATTATTCTTTGGTAAAATTATGGTGCTAAGTGATATTTTGGTTTAAGTGTTTGCTCATCTCATCTTGTTTTATGTCAACACAGGAAGAGGATCTTTCGAAAGAACCTAAATATCCCCACAAAAAGTTATGGTAAAAATAAGACCATATTATCTGAAGATTGTCTATGAATATGATAAGAGTTTGATTCTCTCTACAAGTTGCTTAAATGAGCCCCAACATATTAAGCTTTTTTTTTTTTTTTGGAATAATCTTACAAGTGGACAAGATATGTATACTGGAAATTACAAGTTGGAAGGTTGTGAGTTGTGACTGTGATTGGATTATTCCTTTGGGCTTGTACCTGTGGCATCTTCCTTTCAGTAAAAATAATACGACAAACAAGATCTTATTGTTCTCCCTAAATCTCTTGAGGGTAATAACTGATTTGCCAAAACTAATAATGGATGAGAACTGAAACATATTGTTAAATAAGTTTTTTATGCTGTATTGCATGCATTTAGTTTTAGAAAGAAGAGAAAAATTATCCATTGGTTTTACTGATTTTTTTTTATTTGGTGCAGTATGACGATACCTACCCATTAACTCAAAGTATACTTCATCTTCCCAGGAATCTCTCTAGAAAATGAGCAAGAGCTGCATCAAGATACTCCTTTACCACAGAAGGTTGGAATGGATCTTTGTCAACTAGTCGTCTTCATATGTAAAGTAGCTGGTAGATTCTTCTCCACCTGCTTTTCCATTCTCCTAGCGGTGGTCCATAGTTTGGACTAGAGATAATATACCTTACAACTGTGCTTTGGAGCACTGAATTTTTTATACAGCCACATTATTATACTTTTTAGGCTATGGAAGCAGGAACCTCAACTTTTAGCAGCAGGCCAACAAAATGGAATTTTTGGGTGGGCATGAGAAAAATCTTGGATTCTAAATGTGATTAATGAGAAGTTGAGAATTGTATCAAGTAAATGGTAAATACTATGATAATGTTGCAATTGACACCTTAGATGTAAAAATTGATAATTTTGGAGGGTGACTGTTGACAGATACACATACATACTACACTATTACATAAGAATATACAATTCTTAACATCCTGTGACAAGTTTAGAGGGTGACTGTTAATGGTGTATCTTATGTATCAATCATTCAAACGACATTTGGCATGCTGTACCTAATTATTAGTCACATTATTCATATTGTTTGCATTACAATTTGGGGTGATGAATTTTTTGTTCATATGGTAAACTCCATCCAGTGAGATAAGGGCTTCTACTTGATCGGTTATCTTGTCGGTGAGTAGCATCACTGCTACATCCCCCAAGTCCTCACTTCAAAGAATAAAATGCTAGTATTCTAAGTATGTTGTTAGACCTCTCTTTTTTCTTTCTTTCTGTAATAATTTTTCCTTTTGTTTCTGTGCATCCCTTCTATTATGACAAAGATGTCAGAGTCTCAGGAATAATTAAGCTCATTATATTGTGGCAGGACTAGACATTAATTTTAAAGGCGCGAGGAAAAGGTATTCCATTTCTTATATGGGATGAGCCTAGTTAGTACTTAGTAGTGAGGTCAGCTATCAGCAACTTAACCTCTGAAATTTTCCAAGTACCTGATGCTTTGTTTTGAGCTTATTGTTTCTGAAACTAAGGTGATTATGTCAGGTATAAGGAACAATATACTTCCATCAGTACTTGTGATTCTAGCTACGGTGGTACGAACAATCCGCTGCAAGTTCTTTTTTGAACTTTTTATCTGTGCATGAATGTTGCATTATCACCTTTTCCTTACAGTCACATTCATAAAGGTCCCATAATGGCACATTATTAAGCTTCTGCTCTATTCAGTTCTCAATAGCTTGGACAAAGGCTTCTACCTTTTATCTTTGATTTTACATTTCCTTCTCCCCTTTTTATCCCAATTGCTAGACAATATTCTCCTAGTGGAACATGATTTATGATGTTTTTTGGACCATTCTAGATGGCTTTAACCTTAAGCTTGTCTGCTATAAGTATGTTCACGATTATGTTAATCTTTCTTTGGATTAAATTTAGGCGTTAAGGTGCTGCATTTTCGTGAGGATCTATTACTGGTGCATTCTTTCTTATCATCATTTGTCCTTCATGATTCTTCTCTATTGATAATTTTGTTTGTTCTGATAGCAGGGAAGGGCTTACAGCCATTACAGGTTGCTGTTATTGACTTCATGAATTGAAGACCAGATGGGCATATGATGTTATGGACTTACGGTCATACGTGATACAAATACAATACGTTTGTGATTATAGAATACTTTGATATTGCATCAAGTTGATGAAGCAATTGTACTGATACGGCTTTGTACCAACGCCTTTTCATGTTCCAACTATTAGATTCCTTCCTAGTGATCCAACACTATAGAATTACATACCTTATTCTAAAGAGTGACTGATATTTGCATCATATTTTAATCATTTTGGGAGAGTGGATGGAGCTGTGGAGTGAGAAGAAAAGAATGAGCATCTTCTTTATGCGCCTCAAGTTGCTTAGATACTTGGATGTTCTTTGTATAGGCTAATCTGATTTTCGAATATATGACATATGTTAGGTAGTAAATGATTAACTTTGTCCATGGCTTAATATGCGAATTAAGAATTACAAGTTTCTATTAACTGTGTGAGATGCTTAAAAATTTAAATGCATATCACAAGGTATTTTGTGAAACAGGTCGACGACTAACAGCAGATACAATTTTGGATATATGGGGCGGTGATATGCTAATAAAGACACCCCCAATTATAATAACTTGGAAGTCCTCTATGAGGACTAAGGAAAGATTAGTCAAGCAGGGAATGAAAAGTTACTCATTAATAATTTACTATTAAACGTATTAGTAACACTCTTTATTAATCTGCCATCAACTCCAAGTAGAAACATCATTCACATTTAGGATTTAGACAATATATATAAACATTAAACCAGTGTAGTGATCATAGAGCAAGCAAAGAACACCATACACCTCCATTCTAAACTATGAGCCGTTCCATACTGTATCTGAAAGATAAGAAACCATAAACTACTCTGCAATTAATGATTATCAGTCTAGTTTGAAATTATTGTCTGAAGAGGCAGAACACTTTCGACTTCCTGCTGTTCAGCATTCTTTTCTTTCTCTGCAACTTTCCTTGACAACCCAAACATCTGCAATAACAGGAAATTCTAACGTGTTAAGAACTCAGATGAAACATATCAGCTCAGAATGATAACAGAACATAAGTCTTTTTTTTTTTTTTTTTTTGAAGAAACACAAGTCTAATATATGATGAAAGGGATATGTAATCAAACCTTATTGATGGTTTTTTTTGAAGCATTCCTTGTGTTCATCCATTGAGGCATGGACAAACTCGTCAATGTGGTCCTTTATATCCTCAAGGAAAGCTGCTTCTTCGCTCTTCTTCTTCCGGCATGAAGTGGCTGCTGCAGCAGGTGCACTTGTAGAAGGTTTCGTTGCAGATTCACTCTTCTGGGCTTCCATGTCAACCTGTGTTCAAAGGTTTGACACTAGATTGAATATCTGAATATGCTCAGATATGAGACAGTGAGCCAACATTAGGCCTAATCATGTTCATCTAAGAAGGAGATAAACCGTATGCTTGCTGTACAGAGCCTTTAGCTAAAAGGATGCAGAAAAAAATTGGCGTGCATTGGACTAAAATGACAACTTACACAAGCACAGAACTGGGTTTTTTTCCCTGGCAAGAAGTGAATATCATGCAAGTACTTCATTCCAAATATATTAGGCAAGGATACTCTTAACCATGATTCATGATGCACTAATACGAAGTATAAAAGAAGTTAATTAAACCTTCATCTGGTAGAACTATAGGAAGTTTTCCTATTTCCCTAGCAACCCCCATTGGTTTTTTTGAGTGCAATAGTCTAGCAAGTTACTATTTTTCCTCAACAAATCCGCTAACTTCAATTCTCTCTTCATAACATTCAGGCATGTAGCCACCAGTCCCTAATCAAGCTTAGTGATACATTTTAAGTGGACTAAGTTATAATGGTATTCTCTATGAATTTTCCCATGTAAGATACATATACACTTTCAACTGCACCTGCACCTCAAGTAACATGATACATTAACATGACCTACAACACTCAACAGCTCAACACTAAGCTATAATGGTATTCTTTATGGATTTTCTTGTTTAAGATATATTAACAATTTAACCGCACCTCAAGTAACCGAATGTTCTTCAACTGTCAAACACTAAGGTGGCCAACGGCCGAATACACAATGTTGCTTAATTTTAATCCAACATATTATCAGACAACACCATGGAATCATATGCTTCCACTCTTACCATTTGACACTACAATTTTAGAATTTAGCATTATAACACCCTCCCCCCCCCAAAAAAAAAAAAAAAAAAAACACACACACACACACACACACTCGTTTCACCCCACCATGAGAAAGATTTTCTAATTCGAAAGCAGGGTTAATATCAAGGATTCCCACTCACCCCAACAAACCAAAGTAAGCACAAAAATTCAACTATATTAAAGCATTTACCCAATATCTCAACAACATCTTAATCAAGATGAAACAAATCCCATAAGCATATTCAAAAGTTATGACAAAAATTTCAACATCCCTAAATAACCCAAAAATGAGCTCTACAAGTTCACAAGATCCCCCAAAAAAACCCCATGATATGCTTATAGTTATAACCATAAAACCAACCAATACGCTTATTATGACTGTCTTAGGCTCTGTTTGTTTTGATAAAAAAACATTACCTACGATAATGATTTTCCCATTTTTCATAGCTAGGTTTGTAATACTGTCTTGGGTGGAAAACAAATTTCAAACCAATTTTGTTAGAGGTGTAAAATAGTTTTCCCAAGAATGAAAAGATGGAATGTCACATTATCCTCTCTACAACTAACATCCTTTTCCTCTCCTCCAATCCATATGTTTCCCTTCCACTCCCATTATTTCTTCACTACACAGCTATTTTTACAATCGTTTTTTTTTTTTTTCTCTTAAAATGTTTTCCATCAAAACAAATGGAGCCTTAATATGATCCTCAAACTGCAAGTTTTATTAAATTGCCAAATTAATCTCATGATCATGCTTGTCAAATCCCTGAAACCTAATTAATTAATTAATTAATCATATTCAAGACTTTGAAATTTAAATTACTAAAATCATTCTTATAACATCCAAGAATTCCAGGACCTAAATAAAGCAGTGGTACTTTATACATACGAATGGAGTAATCCTTGTAATGCACACCAGATGCTCGACAAAATGTCTCAATGAAAAATCAAACAAAACAAATTCTTAGAATTAACACAATCAGTTACAGAAGGAAAGCAACAATTTAGAAAAATTACTAATTACTACGAGAAATAGTAAACGAATAATAATTCATGACTAAAGTGAAGTAGGAGAATTAATCACGGAAATAAAGCAGAAATTTACCTAAAGCAAACGAGATTAATGGGAATAATGAATAATTTTGAGGGCCAAATTGGTTTGCTTGTTGTATAGAAAACGTGGAACGGTGTACTAATCTGCAATATATTGTGCTCTAGAAGCGTCTTGCTGAGCAAGAAACTAGTTTTTTTATTTTTTATTTTTATTTTTTAACAAAGAGAAAGACTAGTTGGTTGTTTGGTAACTTATTGCCCGTTGCGCTCTAGAAGTCTTGTTGAGTAAGAGAAACCGAATCTCCATAATTCATAGTGAGGTGATCAAAAATTTGGGCCGGGCAGGTCATGACTAAACCCGTAAAAAGTAGTAGGCCAAATCTCGCCTTAATTTTGGGCTGGATCGTTGTTTATAATCTTTAGAGTCCTGTTCAGTTCACCTTACAAAAATTAATAATCCATATTAATTAAAATTAATTTCATTTCGGTAAAAATAAGTTCAGTTTTGTAAAAATAATTTTCGTTTAGTAAAATCAATACCTTTAAGAAGAAAATATTCCGTCAAAAAAAAAAAAGAAAATATAACATAAGTTCAGTTTACGGTGTCGTTTATAGCCTAAACCAAAACCAAACCACATTAATTTGGTTTTTGGATTTTTCAAACCACATCGCACCATATTATAATAGAAATTGAACCAAACCACACCATTTTAAATTCGATTTTCAAAAGAAAACCAAACCATACCAAAATTTTTCATCCTCTTCTTGTTTGCTCCATTTAACTAATCATTCACTCCAACATCGCCCACATTAATTGACATTCTCGGAAATAAATGAAACCCAATTTTGGCGTATATGTAGGATAGAAATTAGTATAAGGCTATGATATAAATTTGTATATGGGCCGTAATTCGGTTTTGGATTTCGGCTTTTGGTTTTTCAATCTCAAAACCGAAAACAAGCCATATTAATTCGATTTTGGAATGCCTCAAATCGCACCAAACGATATGAAAAAAAAAAATCTGCACCACATTTCTCATTTGGTTTGGCTTAGTTTTAAACCGCATTAGTTTTGCCCCTGAGCAAGTGTAAAATACAAATGGCAAAAGAAAAATAAAAAAAAAATACAAATAATAAAATATGAAAGGAGTATCTATACTATATATTAAAAAAGGCGTTTATAAAATTGTGTATGTGCCACGTGCCCACGTGTACCCCTTCTTACACCCGTATTACGCCACATCATCATTCAATAACCTCTACCATCATGCCACATCATCAT